TGCTCGAAAACCTTGCCAACATGGAATGTCTTCCCATGAGAGGATAGGTGGTTATTTTTGTCAAGAAATGATTGACTAAAATTTTTGTCAACAAATGGACCCTCCAATATGCATGACAAACAGTTCAAAGTACGACACACATATTGGTATTGGCCGGGGTGACTAATTGAGTCCAAAAATAAGATCATTAATACTTAGAATTTGAGTTTTGAATTTTGAAAGATGATTTGGGGGTTGAAATTTTTATTTGGATGATTGAAGATTTGAAATTCCTGGTTTGCGAGTTCTGTGTTTCCTATTTACAAGATCTATTAGAGACTTATGTTAGGGATTTGGGTAAATGTTGCTTCCAAAAGTTTAGTTTGAATTATTAAGAAAGGACTGGGGAACTTACTCCTGACATATAGAAGACAATGAGAGTAATCAAAGGATGGTGCAGTGACGGACAAAATCCTAAGCACTAATAAGATTAAAATTTCATTTACCTGAACACATTAGGATTAAAGACCATACAAATCCACATCGAACCAAAGAGGTGAACATAAATATTAGACTAGGATAGAAAACAATGGGGGTTCACATATATCTTGAGAGATAATTGAAGGAATGGTTGATTCTGCCGAGGAAATTGATTTACCTGAACACATTTCAACTAAAAGGGTAAAAAAGGTATTAGATCATGATAGAAAATCATGCAAGCTCACTTCTAACCTACGAGCTAATTGAAGAATGGTTGATTTTGCTGGGGAAATTGATTACCTGAAAAATATTAAGATGAAAAACATAAAAATTCACATCCAACCAAAGGTTAAAAAAGGTGAATCATGCGAGTTTACATCGAAACTGAAAGCTAATATTTATTTGATTTGTTTTGTTTTATTTCATATTACGACATTTCATGTCATATAATTTTATATCATTTCATATTACATCATTTTATGTCATTTATTTGTCATATTACGTCACATCATTTTGTGTCATCATACACCTAAACACATTAGAAAGAAAAGTGCCAGAATTCACATAAAGAGGTGCACAAGGGTGACTGGATCAGGATAGAAAGTATGGGGATTTATATCTAACCAGAAAGCTAGTCAAGTGGTCAATTTAAGGTAGAAGATTTAGGGACTTGCATCCACCCTAAAAGCTAACCTATCTATCTTATAAGTGAACCACCAAGCTTTTGACTTTAATCGTTTCTTCTGCGGTGTGCAATGACTAATGCCATGGAGTATTTGCACAAACTATCTACTGGACTTAGTCTAGGCATGATTTGTTGAATAAATCGTCGGGATCAAAGTCAATGAATTGTATAGGGAAGAATATCATTTGTTTCTTTTCATTGGTTTCGTTTTGTTGAATGTTCAATTGCTAAAAAATAAACAAGGATTTTGTTTTCTTGTAATTTAGTTCTTATTAATCACGAAATTGTTCTACTGCACGTAGAAATGCAGTAAAAGTGATGAATCTGAGGTTCTTCATGTTGGGGCCTTGTCCAAACAACAAAGAGCCATACCGGCCTATTTTCTCCAGTCCACACTAGACAAGCATATTAATCCTAACTCTAAGGTATGCAATGGGTACACTGTAACCCATTCTAGACTTAGCCAATGCTATGGTTCTTATTGAGGCCGACATTAAAATTAATAAAAATTATGAACCTTAGAAAGGAGAAAAGAAAATCTTTTTTTTGGTTCATAATGAGTTAAACTAAGAAATGGAATCATTGAGAGACTTATCTTAACTAAGATTTATTAACTCAAAGTATTAACCCACATCAACAACTAAGATAGTTGCACGAATAATGAACCTGATCATATCGTGATTGTATTACAGAGGGCATACTCCAACTTTTGATGGACCTTAAGCTTAGGCAATGGAAATGAATTATCAAGGCTAGAACAAGACTAACCACCCTAACCCTAAGTTTTCAATGATTGTACTAGAGAATAGGTGTACTGTCCATACTCTAAATTTACCTAGCCAAGGCACATACCAGCATAGTGAACCATGGTTAATTCAAGGTGTGCAAACCTCATAAAGGAAAATATTTTTCACCAATAAGCATTCAATAGATTATACGATTGGAAGGGTGCCCATGGACCAATCCTTGATTTACTAGCTTGAAGCGCTAAATTTATTGCACTCAAAAATCCATTCAACGCTAACCTCGTCGACCGTTACAAGTTTAGTCCATGCTAACCTAGGTATGGCATTTCTGACCTGATGTGAAATGACTGAATCTAAGTAGTGGTTAACAAAACCATAACCATACCTTAGCTTTACTCAGCCAAGACGCCAGTTCTTGCTGAGGCCAAATTAGACCAACAAAAATTGACAAGCTTATGGAAGGAAAATATCTTTCTTCGACGTTGGATGAGCTATACTGAGAGAAGAAATCGTCGAGTGATTGATCTGCATAACCAAAATTGATTGGTTTGAGATCAATCAATCTGATCACATTATGATGGTGCCCAAGGAAAACTTCATGATCAAGGTAAGGAAATTCCCAAGTCTAGGCTTTCATATTTAAAGGCTTCATCAAATCCATCAACATATTCGAGTGACCAAGCAATTATTAAAGGGGATACAACCACAATATCAAAACTATGTTATTAAAGGCCCATTTCAAACGAGAAGAAGGGACATGAATTTGATACTTAGGGAACTGTAGGGAAGGCCTCTTACCTAATTGGTCTCCTTTAACATTAGCCCAAGTCTAAAGCTTTACAGCGAAATATAAAGTTCAAGAGGGATAGAGAGATCATAAAGATTTTAGAGGCTAACCAATTCAAGTTTGAGTTCATTCTCAATATCTCAACCTTCTTTTCACACAAACATAGATTTAAAGTTTGGTAGTACTTCTCCTTCAAACTTTTTTCCAAAATTGTAAGGGAAAGTTAAAGCTTTTTCAGCTTTCCCCACTCCAAAGAAAACTTCTCAAGCTCTTTTCCAATGGAAACCTCTCAAGCTCTTCTTCAAGTCTTTTTCATTAGTTTGCCCCTAAAGAAAAACTCCACAAAGCTCTTCTTCAATACCCCTCAAAGTGTTGCTCAACTTTGGCATCGATTTCTCAAAATGCCTTTATAAACTTATACAAAATATACCCCTCAAATCATCCTATTCTCTAGCTTAAAAGGGTAGGATTACTCTCCAACTCCATTGGACCAAGCATCCTATTCTCGTGCTAAAGCTTTGGCTGAACGGTGGGAGAAATGGTAAAAAATCTCCTCAAATCAAGATGTGACAACACCATATTGTGGAGGTAGCCTCAAATTATGAAAGCAAAGAGAAATGAGCCATGTACTATTATGGGGCTAGCTGCATCGTTGAGCTAGCCCCTGGCTCCTCAGCTGCCTAAACACTAGTCAGATTCCACATTACTTTTTCAAATCAATCTACCATGGATCTTTTGAGCCATGCATCAACATAAGAAAATGGAATATGGTCCCAAAGTGTTCTAAGATATGTTTTGAGCCTTTTCTGATTTCATTTGCATGCTTAGTAAAAAACAAGGCTACTTAGACCATTAGACCATATTGGCAAAGAATTTACATAGGAGAATTGAAGTATTAGGGTCCTAATGTTGAATGTAAAATGAGTGTATTACATTTATTATATATATATTCAATTAAATTATATATAT